TTTCCCATTCTTTTAAATGATAGTAGTGTTTTAAGATTGGATTTTATCTACTATAATTTGGATGCTGCATCCTATACTGTATTACTGTTCTGAGACATTGTGAAGGGCAGAATATAAAAGCTAGGAAGGAAGGAAGGAAGGAAGGAAGGAAGGACAGAAAGACAGTCGACAGAGGATGCTCTTCGTCTCCCATACTTGTTCACAAAGCACCACCAAAAATCAGAGTGAAAATGTGAGTCTTTGAAAGGAGCTTTTCTCACCCAGCAAAGTGCCACCTTCAGAACCTGTTGCAGCTCTTCTTAAGGTTCATACTTTCCTGAGCAATTAACATCACCAACTTAGCAGTGATGAAACGATGGGTCCCGAAAAACATGCACACTATGATTCACAATGTGCTAATTTCTTAAGATAGCTGTCAGTTCAGTGCAGCGTTACATGTTTGTTTGTTTGCTTGCTTGTTGTTGTTTTTTTAAATATGTTATTGCCGCAAAGGCTTCTGTTGTGTGAAAAAAAAAAGCTCAAATATCTTCTGACTTGCAGATCTCCATGAGATGGAATTCAGCAAGTTAAATCATGCATATGGTTTGCAAGAACTCTCGGTGTGATTTTGCATAGTAAGGAAAGAAACAAATTAGCCTGGTAGTGTTCACTAAAGGCTGGCTATGTGTGGGTAAGAGCATCCTTTTATGCATATTAATCATCAAAGAATAAAATATGCAAGGGGAGTGCAATGAATGTTACGGTCTTCTATACCGATGTTCATCTCATTAGAATTGCAGGGGTATGTGACACTGGAAATCTCATTTCATTTGAGCTTGGCAGACTTTTGACACATTTCTGACGCGGCAACCAAAAGCAGGCTGAGTCACAGTTCTTCCACTTGCCCAAAATTTCTTAAAATATGTGTGCAAATTTGGACCTGATGACTCTGTTTCTGTAGCACGAACTACAATTATGCAAATAGCCCAGATCAAGGCCAATGGGTCAGATTCAAGTCTTTGCTCTTATTGTAGCTTCTACTGTGAGCAATATGAGAACATCGTCCACACAAGCCACTTTGGCCACCCTATATTTTCTGGCAATTAACTTTAGATTGCATAAACTTTGGGACTCCACTCCACAATCTGTATGAATTTAGGCAAGTTACGAATAAAGGAATGGTACAGAGCAGAAGCCCAAATTGCGTGCAAATTTCTCTGGCTTAAAGAGAACAAAGCAAAGCACAAATCTGTAAAAACTCGCCTTAGCTGCAATGAGCTTAGCGTTGCAAAGAGGGTCTTGGAGGGCCCCAAAGTTTGGTGACTCGTGAGCCAATCACAAGCTAACATGAAGTTAAGCTTCTCTGATTTCTGGAGCTGAGCTGGACCGGAGAAATGGAAGCATGTTTTACAGGAAATGAGGGTGATGAACTATTTATGTGTTTTTCTTGGGTTTCTCCGGCAGGTTGAACCTGGCTTATGTGGTGGCCTAAATTCATTAGAGAGGACAGGCATCAAGAGCTGGTGAGCTCAGAGAATTTTCTATACATCATGATAGTGCTACAAAGATTGGGCTTGGACTGAGGATGGGGTTACTGTGTTTGGCTTTCAGATAAAGAGATATGGTTACTCATTTTTACAATTCTATTTAACTTCCATTTGCTTGTTCTCCTATTATCCTGAGGGCCGCAGTTAATAATCAAGATCTACGTTGTGCACTTTTGTGGTATAATTAAACTGGCTGCTTAATTAGAAAACCTAGCTAGGACTAAACAAAGGGGAATCAATAATGTATATAATGGGGAAAAGAAGAGAGAGGGAAAGGGAAATTTGGGAAGGTTTCAAAATTCATTCAGAGCTAAGGCTATGTAACTAGCTCTAATCCTGCATTAATCATAGAGCAAAATGAAGTTCTGTTTCTTTCTTTCTTTGTTTAACCTTCTTTTGTAGCTTGTAAGCGAAATGTGCAACATGCTAGACTTAATCTGGGCCAACCAGCCTGTGGGAATGTCGCAGGCTGATGCAGCTGTTGAGCAACTGAAGAACAAGAAAGGCTCGGATAACCCTGAGGTTTGCGCAAGGATTCGCAGAAGAGCTGGGCTGGAAAGCTGCACTCACCCCGCCCCCCATGTTCCCCAGAAATATGCAATCTCTCATACTGGAAGAGGTAAATAGTCATCAGGACTAGCAACCACTGATGGCCTCACTGATTGAGTTTATTCAATCCCTTTTGACACTATCCAAATGAGTGGCCATCAGTGCATTTTATAGTAATGGATCCCATAGATTAGGTGCTTTTATTCATCGTGAATCTCCCATCAGCCAGCTTCATGGGAAGACCCTGGGTTCTAGTCTTGTGAGATGTTTTGCTCCCCCTCTCCCTTCACACCACGCATAATTTTGTACAAATATGCCATACTTATGTCTGTCTTTCAATCCCAAGCATTTAATTAACAGAAATGTTTAAGAAGTTGTCACAGCAAAGAGGCTGTATGAAGGAGCCACTAGTGTTGGCTTCAGATCTTGGGCTGCTTCTTGCCAAAGGCGCATCAAGTTGGCCTTTGGCATGGTGAATAGGTCCATCTCCTTCTCCACCACTGTCCAGAAGAGGAGGAGGGGACCAGGAATGGAAGTGGACGTGCTGGATCCTTTTAGTTACTGCTCCCATTCTCAGAGAAATGGCAGGTGAGTGGGATGCAACGGACAGGAAAGAGAAGAGGCAAAACAATGCTCTTCTTCTGGTTGGTAGGCCTTTCCAGATGCGCTACAATGCCTTTCCAGATGCGCTACAAAAGCCGTCCTGGGGCTTTTGTGCGAATAGGACGGCATGTAAGTATTTTAAATAAATAAATGACAACCCTGTGGTAGCTCTTCCATTCTAAGTGAAGAGCAGAGCTCGCCGTGTCCTTTGGCATTGGCCAGAGTGCCTTAGGACAATCTGGATTCTCAGATCTGTGATCAGACTTAGATCTCCCGCCTCAGAGCTAGGAATCCACACTCCAATCCCCCCGGCCTCAAAAGCACGATGTCAAGCACCTTTCTGTGTCTGGGAACTCTGGGCAGTGGGGAAAGGAAGCGAGGAGGGAAAGAGACTAGGGTTATCCCGATGGTTGTGCAAACTTCTTCCCTCTCCTCTGGAGAATCTTGCCTTGATGACTGAAAATAGACATCTAGTTGAAATACAGAGCTGGAGCTGCAGGGAAGCAGCAGTCCCCTACGCCTCTCCTGGAACTCTGTGTTGGAAGGTTACAAGCTTCCATTCTGCTAATTTTTGACTGTTTTCATCCTAGCCACCTAAGATAGTTCTGAATCTTTTAAAAATAGGAGCAAGTTCTCTGAGAAGATCTGTCGTGCTTGACTTAACTTTTCTACCCACTTAATAAGGTACTTTATTTAAATTTTCAGCTGTGCCCAGGAATCCCCAGTGGAGATTTTAAAACAGAGGATTATTATTAGAAATTAATTAAGTATTCTTTTCAGCCCCGTCTACGGAGAGCCATTTAGCATCGCTTGCATTCCTTTCACTGCATTAAGACATTACCCATTGTCATTCCAACGAGAGCGGAGGGAGGACATCTCTTTTAAAGGGTAGCAGAAGGATATAAATATGACATATTTGGAAAGCCACTTAATGAAGGGAGCACTTAAATGGTGACAACAACTTGAAACATTGCACTGTACTAATGGTCAGAGTGGAGATACGTGAAGAATGTGGTGCTCCTGGTTTACAAATGCATGCATGGTACAGTCAGGGTGTGGGAGACAGTTTTAAGGGCTTTGCTCAGTGTAATTAAAGAACCCTTACTGTTTCCCTTACAGTAAAATCCGAAGTAGCCTTGAATAAATAACCTGATGGCATAGTGCTGTCTTGGCAACTCATCTCTCACAAGTGCAATTAAGGATGAGTCAGTGGATCCTTCCAACCTCCAGGATTCCATGTATCCCAGGAATAGCAATGAATATTTTAGGAGAAAGTGCCAGTAATGGGGCTGGTAAAGTTTTCCTGCCATCCTTTAAGCTCCACTGGAGGAGCAGCCCAGCAGAAAGCTACCCCAGCGTAGGGGAAAATGTGTTGGGATCCAAAGTCATGGGGATGTTTAGCAGGGGCGTGCGTGCGGGGAGGCACTTCACTTTTTATTCTTCTTTTTAAGGCTCTTAGACTAATATTTCTGGAAGAAGACCCTTTCACACAGAGGTTTTTGAGAAAAGTTAAGACAATATTTCAAGGACAATATCGAACAATCTAAGAATGCAACCTAAGATGTTACCTTGACAAGGAATCAGTGTTTTTTTCTCCATTTCCTTCTTTTACTGCATGAATGGGGAACCTACAGTCCTTCAGATCTTCTTGATTCCAGCTCCTATCAACCCCAGACAACATGGAGAGTAGATGGGGTTGGTGGGATTGTATTCCTGCCATCCCAGTTTATATTCCCTTGGTTCACTCTGTCTTATAGTGCAGTCTCCCAGATTTCTGCTTTGACTAGCCTTTTTTCTGATTTATCAACAAAAATTGGCACTAGTTGTATTTGGGGTCAGTTTTGACCCCGGGAGAAAGTGTTTGAGGCCTGAAAAATGCTGAATCAGAAAAGTCAGTTCTGGTTGGAATTTTCCCTCAGGAGATCACAATCAGCCTAAAAATAGCTTTTAGCTTTCAGCAACTGCAGGTAATTTAAGGTTACTCCTTTCTGATGTTGTGCAAAAGGGGGAAAATCTGCATGCCTTTTCATCTGAATAACAATAGTTCAGCCTAATAAATAATAAATAAATAGTATTCCTTTTATTGACAGTAGTATATTCCCTCATACGCATGCAATACCTAGACTTGTAAACTCCATATGTATTCATTGCAACTGATATACCTCAAAATACACATTTCCATTGTTTTGTAAATTGGCATTTGCAGCTGGTTAGTTGTATCCTCACCCACTACTGTTTACTGTCATAGAGGCATTTTTAAAGAGTCATTGCAAGGTGAAACAGGATGAGCTTCAGGAGAGGCAACACAAGCAGGTTACTCACTTTTTCGGCCTGTAGTCGGGAATAGATCTGTCCAGTGAAATCCTGTCACTTAGTTGAGCATTATAGCCATATTCTTCATATTTGGTTTCAGACTCATGGCTATCATCTCTTAGGGTGGCAGCTATTCCCCCTTGGCCCAAGCCTCCAGGGCCTTCAACTAATCCCATTGGCTTGGCTAGACCTGGAAAGAAAAGATACGGACAATATATTTAGACAGGAGCTTGGATCAGGGTCAGTGTTGTACAGGTTTGCACTGATACAATGCTACAAGAGGAGGAGGAGGAGTTAACTTGACCAGAACTGTTTTCTGCAGACAAGGAGACTGGTTTGTGGAAGGATGGATGGATCTCAGTATCCTAGAGATCCATCATGGATACAGGTGGCTGGCCATCTATACCATCATTCTCCACTAGGACAGGCTAATGGATATGCATCATGGGTTGTAGCACTTCCTCTCCTTCCGTATTGACCCCCTGTGTAGATCAAACACCCGAACAGAGCTGTTGCATGAAGCGGCTTCCAGGATTTGAACCAGTACCATAAGGGGAGGAATTGCCCAGTCGTAAGTAGAGCTAATGTCTATGGGTGGATGAGTTGGTTTACTTCTAATGCCATTTACCTTTGTCATGTTTATTCCACTCTGTTCCCACATCTTGCTGCTCCCCTGAAAGAAACCTCTACATACATATTTATGCACATTTCGTCTACATAAACATCTGATTCTTTGAGGATGGGTGGGCGGGAATGTCATTTTCAGACAAATAATTTCCCCTAATATATGCCTTTTTCTATGGAGGTGGGGTGTGTAGTGTAGTATAAAGATTATGCATATATTTGAACTGTGAACAGCATTACAAAATTCACAGTGGTAGGAAAATTGAAGTGCATCAGTGTTCCATTTTGAAGTGCATGGCTTTTCTTCTTTCCATCAGGTTCTTTCATTCCATCATCCACCTCCCCGCCCTCCATCTCCTGAACTTGCATTCACCTCGGAAAATGTGCCAATATACAATACACTTTTGCAGATGTGTACTTCTGAAAATGCACAAATACCACTGAAAGGTGCATTTTCATGCTTTGGCCTACGGGAGGATGCCCCATTTCTGCTGCTTATTACAATGCTTGTGATTCTGGGCCACTAAATTCATGCACAATTCTATAAAACAAAAGACAGTACATTCCAAAAGACAATACATTCTATAAAACAAAGACAAAAGAAGCCACATAACTTAAAAAAGCCAGTCCATTGCAGAATCGGCAGGTCAGATTCGTAGAAATTCAAACTTCTTTTACCCTATCACAGCTTCCTCAGACATTCATGGATCAGAAAGTGTGAATCAGGGTTGCCTTGCATTGAAATGCACATGCCACAGAATTATTCCTACCAGTGAGTAACTGAGGAGTACGGAAGAGAAGAGAGCAGAACCAGATGTTTTGTTTATTTATTTTTCGATTTATATCCTACCTTTTCCCTACAAAGGGCTCAAGGCAGCTAACATCATTCTCCTCCTCCATCTTATCCCCACAACAGCAACCCTGTGAGGTAGGTGGGGCTGAGAGTCTGTGACTGGCTCAAAGTGGGCTCCATGGCCGAGTGGGGACTAGAAGGATTCTGGGCTGTCTGTTCAGCAAAGCTGCATTAGGCAGTTGCAACGTGTCCAAGGATCAAGACAGAAAACACAGAAATGTACCAAAGTCACACAAACTAAAAAATGGGAACCCTTAGGTTTCTCAACTTGATTGTCTCCAGACATTTTGCTTTATAACTCTCCATGTTCCTGATCACTGCCTCAATTGACTGGAGCTGGAGATATGAAATCCAAAATATTCATTGAAAGCCAGGTTTGGAAAGCCAGGTACCTGTAGACACACACATCCACACACACGAGACAGATCCCTCTTATGGGAGGAGAGTAGGTTATAAAACAGCAATCAAGAATGCTGCAGAATCCATCATTGTGTTGAGCATCCCATAATCCTCTCGCTTCACTCCTTACTCCCTTCCTCAGAAAAGGGTGTTAGTTAATTGAAAAACTCTGTATCATCATCATTATCATTTGCTGTTGCTGTTGTTGCAATTTGTATTACACAGCAGATCTAGCATGAGCCCAAGAGTGCAAGCAGGGGAAAGTGAAATGAGACTTTCTTGGAAATATTCTGCACCCCTGAATTTCTTATTCCAAATGTTTTCTTGTCCTCCTTTGCAGGGAGGGGCACAATTCCCTGGGGTGAAGCTCAGAAACACAATCTTTCCTTATTTTCTTCCCACCCCTATCCAGAGCTTAATACTGTCCCATGAGAAATTCTCTCTCTCTTTCTCTCCCTCCCTCCCTCCCTCCCTCCCTCTGCTGTCTGGAAATAAATTGGCACACTTTCCCTTTTTAAAATGCAGCCGGAGTCATGATGCATATTCTGCTTTCCTCGCATTACTCTCCTCGTTTCTAGGAAATTGCTACTAGCCAGCCCTTATCCACTTGAACTCTACTGAAATGTCCTCTCTCCTATGAAACACTGGAGCTTGTCTGTAGCATTCGTAATAAACTCACCAGGGTTGTAGAACCGGCAAGTGCCTGCAATACTTTCCCAATTTTTTTTAACTCCCCTGAAATTGAACATCACCGAGGCTTTAAGAACAATAAAGAAATAATGCGCTAATTCTTCCTGCCCTCCAACACCACCGTGGGTCAGTTCCTCAAACGGAAGGTACTACTTGGGATTAATGTAGTCCACAAGGACAGGGAGTAGGGTGGGGTGGTTAGCCTGGCCTCCGCCAAACATGGCTCTCGCCAGATGTTTTAGGCCGTAACTCCTATCAGACTCAAGCAGCGTGGTTAATGGTCAGGAGGGAAGGGAGGATGAATGGAAGTCATACCAAAACATCTGGCAGTTGCTTGCTGCTTATGACTGGCTTATTAGTTTCACACCCAGAGGGAACCCAAAGTCCGTGATAGCCCATGGCCCACATGCTAGTCACCTATAGACCAACGTAGACAATCGACTTCACAGTGTCTCATAAGCAGAGGATTCTGATGTTCTCTCTTACCCTCCTTGCACTTTTTTTAGATCTTTTAAAACCGATTTACCAGATTTCAGTAGCGCTTGTTCATTTCAGAGTCACTTTCCTTTTAGGGTTTTCCTTGTTCCATACGCCTGCACTGTATGTGCCTCCCCAGCCTTTGAGATCTATGCAGGGGGCCCTCCTGTGTGACCCATTCCTTACAGAGGTGGGAGGGATGGCTGCTGGAGGGGGGCCTTTTCTGCAGCTGCTCCCAAATCTGAAATGGGGAGCAGCTCCCCATATTTCTCCAAAGAGATTCCCCTGATGCCTTCCTTACTTCCTTTTTAAAAACATTTTAATAACTAATTGCCATAAAAGCTTTGTTTTGTATTTTTGCTGTATTTTTTGTTATTTTTAATGCGTTATTGGTTTTCATTATGCTTTTATTGTGTTTTTCTCTTGCGGTTGTGTTTTTCTCTTGTGGTCATGCCATGGCAGCATACAAAGTTTTTAAATAAAGAAATAAATAATTTTTGTTTTGCTTTGGTGAAATTCAAAACAATAAATGTTAATCCAAGAAGCATTCTAGGGGTTTTGAAGGCGCTGCCCATGGTGCTGAATGTCATCCTCCAATGGATGGACAGATCCATTCACACAGGAGTCATAACAGTGTGGATTGATACTGAACAGGAGAACCAAATTAAAGTTGCCATACTGAATCCTACCAGCTTTCCACAAATGAGATTCTTGCCAGTGAGTGGATCGCTCAACGAGGCTGGAGAGAAGAGGTAGATGAAGAGGAAGTGAATAACTAGAGGATAAAGGCTCCACAGAAGCCATAGCTGCACTTAATATCTTTCCGTCAGGTCTGTCCATGGAAAGCACTCTGTCTCCAAATGTTGCCTAATCTCAACGATTTTGGAAGCCATTTTCTTAATATGATGCAGCCCTGAGCGCCAAGAGAGTCAGTACGGTGCAGTGGTTATGGCGCTGGACTAGAACTCAGGAAATCTGGGTTTCTCCACTTGACCATGAAGCTCCCTGGGTAACTTTGGACCAGTCATTGACTCTCATCCTCACAGGGCTGTTGTGAGGATAAAAACAGAGAGGAGGATTATGTAAGCCACCCTGGGTAACTGCAGGAAAAGCAGTGGAGAATCTGATCAACTTGTTTAGTTAAAAATAAACACATTTCTCCAAATTATGCATTTTTGTTGCTGCTGTTGGAGAATGCCATAAGGGAGAAAGAAATGGAGAAGTGTACTTTTCAAACGATAAGGAACTTTGCTTTGCATGGTGGCTCAATCATTTGGGAGTGGGCAAGTTCGTATTGAAATTCACACCAAAGTGCAAATAGGATGATTCCTGCCTCCATTTGCAGTCCCGCAACATTCTGGACGGAGTGTTTCTACCTTGCAGGAAGGTGGGGAAACGAGCTGCTTCCATGATGGATGCAGCCAGACTAGTCTTCCCTCACTGCGAAGTACTTCCTACGACTTGGAGAGTGCAGTCCGTGAGTGGCCTGGCGTTCCCTGGCCAGCAGAAGAGATCAGGATGTGCCTTGCAGCCACCCTGCAGTCCCAGGACAGCAGAAGAACTTCATTCATTTCGTCAGAGTGTGGAATATGCTTCTGCTATCAAAGCTCATAAATCCTGAACAAACTCTCTGCTTAATGAAAAGAGGTCTCCAGTGAGGCAACTGCTCTCTGAAATTATTGCCTTGGAGGGCATCCAGAAAAATGGTCTTGTCCCTTGGATGGAAAAGGGTCACAGGATGCAAAACGGTTCAGTGCACTGATATTGGGGCCAGAGAAAATGAAAGCCCTGGGCAGACAAATAGCCCATTCTTGACAAAATCCAGGCAAAATTACTTTATTTAAACATCAAACCTGCAACCAACTGCACAGGTGTGGTGTGCAGGTAGAGACAGAAACACATCCGGAATGCGCTGAACAAGAACATGATCTCATTCGTCGTAAAACTGAATCTGTCCAGTTGCCCAGGCTGAAATTGGCACCAGGCAAATCACACACACCCTTCCCCCACGAGGCACACACTTCACCAGCTTGCGGACAGGCTTGGTGTTGTGTGTTTGTGAGCATGCAAATGCACAACGGAAAAGCACGAGGAGGTGTTGGTAGGCCTGCAGCTAAGCAGAAGATGACTAGTCATCTTTTAGAGCT